GAATCCCCGCTGCTGCCAGGGAGCCCCGCGCCTCTCCCTCCCGCTCGCGGCTGTGGCTCCTTCCCGGCGGGACGCGCCTCCCGCTGCCCCGGCCACATGCGGCGCGCGTCCCCCGCGCCTAGTCTCCCTCCCGCCGGGAAGGAGCAGCTTGACGCGCGCCGCATGTGCCCGGGGCAGGCCGGGGGGCGCATCCCGCCGGGAAGGAGCCGCAGCCGCGAGCGGGAGGGAGAAGCGCGGGGCTCCCCGGCAGCAGCAGGGATTCGGCCCACGCCCCCGCGCCACCCACCTGGCCCCTGCCCGCTCCGCGCTGCCCCCGACTGGACCCACCATGCTGCCCCGCGGGCTGCAGGGCTGCAGCAGCCTCCAGGCTGCGCTCCCGGCTCCGGGTGCAGCAGCCCGGGCAGAAGCCCTCTGGCGCAGCGGGGGGGTTCACAGCTGAGCTCCCCGTCTCCCTCCCTTGCCAGCCCCCCTTTGCCTGCCCGGTGCCCGGGTGCCGGAGCTGACTCACCAGCTCCAGGATCCAGGCACCGCCGCCACTCCCTCCCTCCAGGCTTGCGCGGCCATGCTGCAAGCCTGGGAGGGAGGAGGAATGCTGTGTGGTTGGGGAAGAGGCAGGGCCAGGGCGGGGATTTGGGGAGGGAGCCAATGGGGGAAGGAGGGGCGGAGCCGGGGCGGGGGGGGCGCGAGCGCCAGAGCGGAGGGCTAAATTTCTTTTTTGTCCAGTGTCCCGACCAAACATTGGTCGGGACGCGGGACAAAGAAACAAATATCGGGACAGTCCCGATAAAATTGGGACGTCTGGTCACCCTATGCGGGTCCCCACATCTGTACCCCAGAGTTCAGAGTGGGGATGGAACCCTGACAGTTTCCATTTATTATAGCTTTCTGTTTTAACATAATACAAATAGTAAAAGGAAAGCTATAAAACTGAAACCTATATACCAAAAGTGGCCTGCCTCTAAAATCCTTTAAAAACAAATGCACATAGGCATTCTGGATGACTGGGCTGATTGATTCTATGATTTCATTTGGATGACTGTAACTTTTGGGTCGTTTTGATGATGTTTGGTTAAAACTAAAGCTTTTCCACCCCTCTTTGCTCCATGCAAAAGAAACCAAGCAATGTATTCTGTGTACTATAAATTACACCATTAGTCCTGTGTAATTACCATGACTATTTTAACTCTGATTTAATCAGATTTATTTCTTATCAGAGATTGATCCACCACGTCTTTTATGTGGGAGTTTATTTGGCATTTCTGTGCCCTGCAGGCCTCCTCAAAGAATTACCATCTTTAACCTCAGTCTAAGAGTTATCCACTTATGAATTATAAATCCAGATGTCCAAATATTTAGGTCAAAATTTTCCAATTGTGGGTGTGAAGAATTAATATTTACATGTTAAAACCAGCTGACTAAAAATTTAAAACAGATTCTAGACTTACCAGCAAATACTGATTTATACAAAAATAAACTGGATTTTTCCTGACACTTTCAAACTCTGCATTCCCTCTGCCCCACCTCCAACCATCCGGTTAGCATTATGCATGTTTATCCTAATGAGTGACCCAAGACTGGTGGGCTGTGGGGAGTAGCCAGCTGAAAGCAGTGTGAAAAATCTTCCCCAAAACCTGAGCTTTTTTACCAAAAATCCCTCCCCTGAATTAAAAAAGAAAAAAACCAGTAAAGCTCAAACTCAGTTATATGATCCCATGATAGCAAAGTACAATGATGTATCTTTATATATTCCTCTCCTTGATTCCACCCAAAAAAGACCATGGTTCTAGTCAAGGAGGGCTGACTTTGATTCCATCAGCATTACTCCTGTGCTGACTATAAAAGCCACTGAGTATTTTTGTGGTCCTGTTGTAACCTGAGTTAACTGATTCAAGTGATTTGGCAGTTAGATAACACCTTTACAAGTGTTAATATAGACCAAGGGTGGGCAAACTACGGGCCACAGGCCGGATCTGGCCCATCAGGGCTTTGGATCCAGCCCACGGGATTGCCACCCCCATGGTGCCGTAAGGCTAAGGCAGGATCCCTGCCTGTCATGGCCCCACACCGCTCACGGAAGCTGCTGGCACCACGTCCCTGCGGCCCCTGATTGTGGGGGGCAGAGGGCTCCACCCGCTGGCCTCGCCTGCAGGCACCCACCCTCCGCAGCTCCCATTGGCCAGGAACGGGGAACCGCGGCCAATGGGAGCTTCGGGAGAGGTACCCACAGGCGAGGGCAGCGCACGGAGCCCTCTGCCCCCCTCCCCCCAAGAACCACAGGGACGTGGTGCCGGCCGCTTCCGGGAGCAGTGCGGGGCCAGGGCAGGCAGGGAGCCCGCCTTAGCCCCGCTGCCCACCGCAGCCACTCTGGAGCCGCTCCAGGTAAGCAGCGCCGGGCTGGAGCCCACACCCCGAACCTCTCCTGCAACCCTCCTGCACCCTGCCCTGAGCCCCCTAACCTCTTGCCTTGAGCCCCCTGCCACACCGCTCCTGCACCCCAACCCCCTGCCCTGAGCCCCCTGCCGCACCTCGCACCCCTCCCTGCACCCCAACCCCCTGCCCTGAGCCCCCTTCCTCACTCTGCACCCCCTCATGGACCCCAACCCCCTGCCCTCAGCCCCCTCAGCCACCCAGCACCCCTCCTGTGCCCCAACCCCTTGCCCCGAGCCCCTTCCTGCACACCACACCCCCTCCTACACCCCGCACTCCCTTCTGCACCCCAACCCTCTGCTCCAGCCCTACATTCATGGCCTTGAATGCAATTTCCTCACCCAGATGTGGCCCACGGGCCAAAAAGTTTGCCCACCCCTAATATAGACGCCCACAAAAGTTCGTTCCAGGACACACACATTTGTGGTTTACCCGAGGGCTCAGGATGCAAAGCACTACAGTATGACCTTGGTTATCCAAATGTCATGGGGGACACTAAATCATTTTGGATAACTGTGATTTCAGGCAATAGAGGAAATTTTCAATGAAAATAATAGACATTGGGGGGACATGACTCTGTTTTTATCCAGACCCCAGTTACCCAAGACAGTGGAACTTCATAGAAATGTAAGGTGCTGCTGTTTCTCATCCATATAAATTCTGGTTTGTTGTTAGGTAAAATCCAAGAAGAAGTGCATGAAAACAAAGAAAGAGAGGAATTCCTATCTAGAAACACTGGAAAAGAACCATACAAAACATACACAAGAGCAAGTGGTAGGGCATGATTATTTCAGGGGTTATATACATGCTAGACAGTGAATTATAGTAGCATTTATCCATCCAACAGAATTAGGAGGATCACTAGAACCTTAACATTTTGCACTAATGACTGCATTGTGAATTACTACTTTGCAAATCAGCCAGTAAGCAAGCAACCAACCAATAAAAAAGTAAGGATGTTGCAATAAAGATACTGCAAGATACAGAGTATCACCCGTGAAAGACTAAAGTCAATGGGTGTTGAGGATGCTCAGCACTTCACAGAATCAGGCCTTTATTTGGTGAATTTCAGTTCTAATTACTTCCGACCTCACCTCACATTCTGCTAACACATAGTGTAGTATATAGTGTCAAAATAATGAAATCCTATTCATATGACCTTTCACCATGCCATTTGCTAATAAATCTTTGCTGAGATGTGGAACGAGACTAAAAATGTGTTGTGCACATTGTACATTGTGTGGATTATCATTTCTACCATATGTATGATAGTAGCAAGAAACAGTAAACTGTTGTGTAAGCTGTTACTTGGGGAAGATTAATAACTTTTGCCAGATCTGTAAAGCATAGTAAATCACCATTTCTGGAAAAAAAATTACTACCATTTGAGCACTTGCTGATCCAGTATGTTGTGCCTCCTCTGAGGATCTGGGTTCAATTACTAATTTAAGTGACAAGATCAGTGATCTTATCAACATCCTCTCTTGTGGCCTTGAAGAAATGGCCACAGAATTTTGTATTGTTTGTTAAAGCTGTCAGAAGAGGGTTAGGACTTGAATTGCCAGGGATATCCTGGGTCACTATTTAAGTACATTGTCCAACTGCCCTGGGGGGAAGTTTGCATGCAGTCCTCACCCACACTTTGCCTGACCAAGTCTAGAAAACTAAAATAGCTCACAAATTTTAAAGAAAAAATAGTAATCAGTTAACAGCTTTCTCCATGATATGCCTTTTTGGGGTGTATGTATACTGTAGTGTTGGGGGTTTTATTAATGGTTTAGATCAGAGAGGTCCCCAATCTATTGGGCACTCTCCCCTAAAGGGGCGTGAGGAACATTCGGGGGGGGGGGGAGGTACAGCTGGGGCCTGGACCAGCCCCCACAGGGGGCAGGGAGGGAGCACCACCCAGCTCCACTCCTGGCTCGCGACCCAGCTGCCAGCCCCATGCCCGGGGCTCCGGCTGCCAGCCGTGGCTGCCGGCCCTGGGACCTGTTGGCTGGCCTCGGCCCCCGGCCTTTGCTCTGCTCCCGCCCCCATCCCCAGCGATCACCCCAGTCTCGGCCTCCTTACTCCTGTCTGTGTCCTCTCCTCCCAGAGCTGTTTGGCTCCAGGGGGGTGGAGGCGCAGACAGGGGTAAGGGGGGATGTGAGGTAAAAAGTTTGGGGAACACTGGTTTAAATAGATTGATAAGCAGATGCCTCACAATCTGGGTTGTGCTCTGTGCTACATATACATAGCTCCCTCTACCGGAACCCCTATATTAATGTTATGGAATTACAAAAGAGTGGCAACAGTGCCACCAAGACCACCCCCCACCCTCGATCCCAACAGTTACAAGACAGGTATGCAGAGATGAGGAAGAGTGGGGCCTGCTACCAGTTTGAGGTATGTTTGTGTCCGGGATTCATAACTGTTTTGTGACTAGAACGGTAAGAGGAAAGCACTGATCTTCAGGTGTTTGCCCACATCTCATGCTTTTAACATTGGAACCCTAGTATTCTGTAGCACCGTTTTCCTGAGATGCAGTATTTTCCCTTATGTGTTAAGATGATTATTTATTGTTTTCCATTTAGAGAAAAGCCAAAACGTTGGAAGAGAATTTTCACAGCATCACTAAGAACAGAGGAACTGGAAGCAAAAATGTGAGGGCTTTTCAGTACTCTAAACTATGGAGGTACCTTCTTTCAGCTTAGGAAGTTGTTCTTTATCTGACCAGAGACTAACATATGAGCAGCATAATTCAGAAGGAGTGAGTTTGGACACACTGTTGTGATAAAACAACAATAATTAATCTGAAAAAGATCACTTCTTTTTACTGTAAAATGTATTTATCTTAGGTCACAGGTTTCCAGTGAAAGGAAGATATCAACATCCAAGAATCTGAGAGAGGCCAAAGATGCTAACATTCAGTCTCCACTAGCATGTTATTTGATAGCCTCACCCTTTCTGTAGGGACATGCATAGGGGTAGGGGATTTGACCAGATCCCCTCTGACCTCAGAAGCCACCTACTACTCTCCCTCTACTTCTGTAAAAACTTTCTCTCCATGATTTCCTTCCTATGGGGATTTCTGTCAGTCCTTTAAAATGTTACACTCTTCTCACATTTCTCCATCAATCCTATCAAACATTTTGGGGCTTGTAAAGAGGAGGGAAAGAAGAGGGTTATTGGGGTTCTAGAGAAAAAGGCATGGATGGTTCGAAATAATATTAGAAACCATTTCAGCCCAGAGTTCTGAATATCAAAATATTTGCACTATTCATGATATGTGATGCCAATTCACATACCTTCCTACCTTTCAAAGGAAGTAACATGGTACTTAGCGTTTATTAACTGACCAAGCTAGCATCTCTTGTGTTTAATTGTGTCAAAAGCACACTGTCAGCATTGTTGGATATAAAATCTGATTCTCTTATAACAAATAGCATGTTTAAATTAATACTTTAGTACACTATAGACAAATACACATGCCCAATCATGTTCCCCTTAAAGTCCATGGGAATTTTACCATTAGGTTGAAATGGCATAGAATTGGACTTCTGGCATATCAATGACAAGACCACTGCTGAGTGATCATAAAATAAACCAGGGATCGGCAACCTATGGCAAGCGTGCCATAGGCATCACACGAGATGATTTTCAGTGACACTCACACTGCCCGGGTCCCGGCCGCCGGCCTCGGGGCTCTGCTGCCAGCCTGGGGTTCTGTCTGCCAGCCCCTGGCCAGCCAGGGTGCCGGCCGCCGGCCCTGGATCCCAGCCACTGGTCCGGGGGGCTCTGCTCCTGGCCTGGGGTACCGGCCCCCTGCAAGCCTGGGTCCCGGTTGTCAGCCCCGCTCAGCCCGCTGCCGGCCTGGGGTACCAGCTACCAGCCCCCTGCCAGCCAGGGTTCTGTCTGCCGGCCCCGCTTAGCCCGCTGCCAGTCCAGGCCACCGGTCCAGGGGGCTCTGCTGCCAGCCTGGGGTCCTGGCCACTTGCCCGGGGCTCTGTCCTGTCCTCGGCCCGGCGCTCTGCAACCGCCCCCAGCTGTGGCCCACTGGCCCCAGCCTGAGGCAATGAGGGGTGCAGACAGGGGCAAGAGGGGGTGCAGCTCAGCACCCCCACCTTAAAAATTGTTTCAGAGCCACTGGGATATTTTTAAGTCTTGATTTGCTGCTTATATCGCAGGATATGAGAAGCAAAGCAGTGTTTGCAGGACTGGAGCATTAGAATGGAAGCCCTAAAGCTTCAGGGGAAGTATTGTGTCTTTCGGGGGGGGGGGGGGGGCAGCACCTAGTATACTGTGGGCTCTTTCAGAATACAAAAAATAGTAATTAATGATGCACTGTATATCTAGAACTTAATACACTTTTGGTATTGATCAACTGTTGTCTCAGACTTCCCATTTCTAACCATAGTGCAGCTTCCATCCTGTCTGTTGATTTAAAGGATGCATGGTGTATCTTCCTGTTTTTTCCCAGATACATCTTACTCAGAAAGTAAAACTGATGGAGTTGCACAGTGTGTGCAGGGAACATGGGAATGAAGTTCTAAAGCAGGAAAGAGAATCTTGGATCTTTTGTTATTAGAATAAGCCTTGTTGTGCAACAAAATCAGAGTGCTCTCAATGTCTGCCATTTTACTTATACTATTCTGTTGGTGGTCAGTGGGGATCTGCGCCGGCTCAGGGGATCATCAGCATAGAATCTCTTACAAGTTCAAGGCCTATGTCCGATACTGAAGTTCAAAATGGTATCTCATATTTGTGTTTTTCTCCCCATCCCACTTTGGCCTCCTCTTGATACAACTAGGAGCCCCCCAACTCTAGCCCCTCCACAATTGAGGTCAGATTTTCAAAAGAATTCAGTATGTTGGATGCTGAATTCTTTATTTCGTAGGAGCTGAGTTCTTTTGAAAATGAGACTCTTATTGTGGGTCCTGGTCACTGAAAATCTAGCTCTAAAGCCAAGATTTTCAAAAAATAAGAGCTTTAAGTTGTGCTCTTAAATCCCTGTGTAAACACCTACATAAAGTGGCCAGTTTTTCAAAAGTGTTGAGTGCCAGCAGCATCCATACAGGTCAATGGGCGCCTTTGAGTGTTCAGCACTTTTAAAATTCAGGCCAGTTATTTAGATGCCGAACTTTAGGTTCCTATTTAAAAAAAAAAAAATCTCGTCCAAACTGTTCAGAATTGGTTTAGAGAAACGGTGTTTTAGATTGTGTTTAGAAACTGTTTTCAAACATGATGCTTTTTCTTGTGCAGATAAATAAAAGCCTGTTCGATATTTTCCCTTTATTGACTCCCATTGTGTATGATAAGTAAAATTGTAAAAGATGTTTGGAATTATTTCATTGCTTTAGTCTACAGAGAGCTCTCTGAACAATAGTAGCATGAAGTAGGTTATTGGTTTCCTTCTTTGTGGTGCCGATGGTGTCATTCTGTCATATGATTCATACGTTTCTCTTTTCAAGGTTTCAGTCTATCTCCCCTTTAGTTCAAGAAGCAATGATGTCACCAAAGTCCAGGTACTTGTATTTGAGCAGAAAGAATCTTGTGATCTAGGAGGTTATAGTTCCTATTATAAATCATGCTGTCCAGAAGGATCAATCTGCATCCATCCCTAGTATGGTGGTTAGCTTTTGTTTGTTTGTTTATTTTTTTTACCCTGAGTACCCCTCACACATGGGATTTTAAAACAGTGGGCCCAGCTGAGAAGTGAAGGTGCAAAAAGGACATTAATTAAGGCCACAAGTCTAAATTAGTCCTACTCAAGAGTGTCAGTCCAAACTAGGATTTAGTGATAGAGAGCATGTAAAGTATGTGTAAATTTCAGGCATAGTAGACTGGTGAGCCAAAACAATGTTACAAGTATTACACAACCCAGCTTGAAGAGGCCAGTAGGAAAGATTCTGGTTGACACAGCAGACAGCACTTGTCAGGCAGGCTGCTAAATCCTGAGGAATCAAGAAAGTACCAAAAAAAAAGCAAACCTCACTGCCACTCACGCCACCACCTAAAGGAAGCCTTGTCAGGGTCCCTCAGATGGCCCAGGAACACTAAATATTGTATTCAAAAAGTACAGTGATACGCAGCCTGCTTTAGTAAGCACTGCCACTTATTAAATGCTACACTAGTTCTACAAATGAAGTGATGTGCACAAAGGGCCAGATTCTCCACTAGCATAAACCAGCATAACTCCATCGACTTCAGTAGAGCAATAGTATTTTACACCAGCTGAGTGTTTGGCCCAAAATCTTTTTAAAAGACTCTCGATCGGGATAGTGAGTTTCATCTTAAAGAATCTTGCTGTGGTGCTTCTCACTGTTGTGCAGTGCCAGAGATATAGTTGAGCAGAACATAAATAAAAGATGATAAATCCATGTCTCTACTACCATTGATTCATTTGCTTTATTAGTTCATGAACCTGGTAAAGAGACCCAGTCATCCCCAAAATCATATTTGTAAAATTATTTCATGTATTAGCTTTGCCACTAAAAATGATTAAGAAACATAAAACTGAATCTTTTTGCAAATAAAATTAATATTACATGAGTCTTCCTGCTTGATTTTTTTTCTCAGTTTGCACTACCATCCCCAAATTAAGAATTCCAGGAACAAGGTCTATCATGTGACCCAGTGTTTTCCATCAGTCTGCATGTCCCCAGTACCTCTACATCCTGCTTCACTCCCATGGTCAGTCTATTCCGCCCATCCCAACAGCAATCCAAGCAGACAGTTCAGCCTTCCTGAAACCACTCAGCCTCAACCAATTACTCTTCTCCCACTTGAACAAACCACGCAACTTCTATCCAAGTTTTCACCTTCTGGGGAAATCATTGAACCAATTTGCACTCCCTCAACAAACCATTGAGCAGCAGCACAATGCCGTTTTTTCTTTCTGTCTCTCACACAGTTTCATTTATAGTAGACTAATAATAATAACAACATACATATATGTCTCTGTCCTCTCTTACAGACTAGCAGCATGGCATTACATAAAATACTTAAGGAAATTGATCCCATGGTGAAAGGTAAGCCTCACTTTTTGGAGAAGGGAAGAGGGGTATGAAGCCCCTGTAATCCATATATTGTCTTTTAGCACTGATAATTGATGGGATTTGTAGGACACAGCATTAGACTGCTGCTTCATGGGCCTAAAACTGGGCAGAAAGACATCATACGCCCCACTAGCTTATCGTAGAGTTGGGAACCTATAAGTTAGGCTATGAGGAAAGTAGAAGAATACAATTACAAGTATGAGGCTTCCCTGCTCCCACCTCGCCCCACCCTACTGTTAATTTTTGTTTTTTCTTGGACATTATTTATTTATTTATTTATGCCTTTAATAATTATTTATTCCAGAAAGATTCTCCACAGACACACAATCAATATTTTTGCCTTTACAAAATGTCATAACATTTCATTTGCAAAATGTTGCAAAGCTCAAAATACATCTTTGCTCACCTCTGACCTCTGGCCCATTTCTGACCTGGTTAAGCAACCATGGTGAAATGTTATGCAGATGGAAAACCTGAAGCTTGCTTTCCCTTAAATGCAATCTTTAAAATCTTTTCCAGAAGCTGTACCAGCTGTGCAAGCAAATTACACAGAACAGTATCTCAGTCCTTATTTTCCTGAACAGGGATTGGGTGAGTAACAGTGTGCGTGTGTGTATCTATATTGTGTATCAATTAAGTATAGATATGTGATAACATATTTTTTCTATCTATAGCTGTACTGAGGATACTGGAAGTTGCCTTTCTGACATAAGTGGCCTCATCACTCATAGGGAGTCTATCAAGTTTGGCCTTCTGTAATAATAACAATAACATTATTAATAATAATAATTAATAATAAATAAGTAAGGAGAATGTGTGCATTTGAGCACCTAAAATGCAGGTATTCTGTGGAGGGTTTAACAAAACTCCTGACAGACCCTATGGAGTTGGTTCATGGTCAGGATTTATTGGTAACTCATAGGGATACATTTTAGACAGTAGCTTTCCCTTTTTTATACGTAAAGATCTTGTATGTTGTGAAGGCTATTTGTTTAAAAAAACAAACCCATGATATAATACTGAGGGATAATAATAATGTCATACTATAACAATTTGTTTTAATGGTGATTTCATGCTTTCCATTCATGCTGCTTAAAAACAGGTCTCTGGATCCCTCTCTGTTTTTCCTGACATGAATTCAGAGCTGCTGTACCTTCCATTAGCAAGGGAGCTATCTACTTGATGGTTTTTCTCTTGTAGAATTTGATGGGAAGTAGAAAAATAATTTAAACTTTTCCTTACATTTTGCCTCCTTCTCCCTCTTTGGGTTAGTGGATCAAAGATGACAGCTAAGACTTTCCAAAATTCCACAAAAAGTTTTGTTGCTGGTCTCCAGCTTGCCAACTTTTTTATTAAATAATAGCAATTGAAGAGTTTTTATTGTTGAAATATATTGTATTTCACTATTAAAAGAAAACCCACTATTTATTTAGAGTAAAAGTAGCTTCAGAGTGGTGTGTATATATATTCACATCTACACAGATATAGTACAAATACATATACCAGCCCAGGTATTCTGGAGGGACAGATTTAAAAAATCTGGCCTTGTATTTTTTTACCCCTCAGCCTCTAACTGTGGGCACCAAGAGTTCCAGGAATAATTGATTTCAGTGGGACTATTCATATACTTAAAGTTAGGCACAGGCTTAAATGCTTTGCTTGTTCAAGGCCTGTCTGCAGAAGAAGAGGTTAACAAGGAACTTGAACATTCATTAGTGGAATAAGGTTTCTGAGATTTGGCCTGCAGCCTTTAGAGGGGTTATACGCTTTCTCTTTCACAGTCCTCAGCTATTGTATTCCATATCCAAAAATAAACAACTTTATAGAGATTTGTAGATTATATTCTGCCAGGTTTTCCTGAAAATGGCACTAGCTAAAGGAAGAATGATTAAAGCAATAATGGAAATGCATGACTAAATGCATTTATCTTTGACCTTGATTATTGTTTTCTTAGACTTGGACTGGACCAATGTGTCCCAACCTCTAAAACATTTCATATCCCAGAGACTTTTTCTCCCTCCTGCCATCCTCAAACAAATGTGCTATATAGGTTCAACAGCAGGGAATGGGGCAATCTCTGGGTGTCAGCTTCCCAAGGTGATGAATAGGCCGAAAGTGAAAGAAAAAAAGGCCCAGCGAAGAGGTGAGGAGTAGTGGAAACTGGGAGGGGTAAAACATATCTAGAAAATTGAATGCCATATTAACATTAGAGTTAATCAGGCAGCTGACAATCCCCAGAGCAAGACTGTTGGGATCTAATTATTATTTGTATTACAGTAGTGCTTAGGGGTGGGTTAGGTGCTCTATATGTACATGGGAGGAGACACTGTCCTTGCCTTTAAGAGTTTACAATGTAAGTAGGCAAGACATTCACAGTGAGGGTGAAAGGAAATATTATTGTCCCAATTTTACAGATGGAGAATGGAGGCTCAAAAAGATGAAATGACTTGCCCCAAGTCGCACAGGAAGTCTGTGACAGGGTCAGGTATTGAACCCAAAGACCCTGAGTCCCACATATTGAAACTAGGTGCAGTAGAGGGGACTTTTCTCTGGATTTTGATAGAACTATACTAACAAATGGATAGGGTTAGGGTTAGGGGCTTGTGGTTAAAGACAGACCTGGGAGTCAGGTAATTGAGGTTCAATTCCAAGCTCTGCCACAGTTGTCCTGTATGATCTTGGGCAAATCACTTAACTGCTCTATGCCTCAGTTTCCCCATCTGTAAAATAAAAATAATAATACTTCCCTGCTTCATAGGGGTGCTGAAACTAATTCATTAATGTTAGAGATGCTCAGATGCTAAGGTATTGAGCACATTAGACATTATTATAAATTAAATAAATAAAATCAGCATTTACTCATATTTAATTGAAGTTATAAAGTATGTTGCTCATCTACCAAACCTTGAATAGTCTAAATTTTGTTTAATCTGAAGGCTATTTGATCAGTTGTGCTATTTCAAATATGGTAAATCCAGCTGAGGTACTAGCAGAATAATGGATATATGATCCAAGGCCAAAATGTTCAAAGCTGCATGCCTAAAATTAGGCTACTAAATCTGTACTTAAGCACCTAAATAGGTGGCTTGATTTTCAGAGGTCCTAAGCACCCACAACTCCCAATGACTTAAGTTAGCAATCAAAAGTGGGAGTAAACTGTAAAGACAAAAATCAGGGTATTGTATTGTGTGATGAACTATTTCCTCTAAATATGACATGCACATTCATTACAGTGATGATTTCTTTCCCACTTTTTATAGTAAAGCTGCCTGTTACAACCTCCATCAAGCAAGTGGGAAAATGCTTCAGGTAAGAGAACCTTATATTTGACTTCCAGAATTTCTCTTGGAGGGTAAAGAGTGATCCCAGCTTGATTTTTCAAAGTTCCTCTTTATGATGTGGAGAGGGAAATAGACTGAAACACAGATTAAAATCATTTACCAGGGGAAGGATGATCCCCTTTTGGAAGATGATTTTCAGAGCTGGTGGTGGTCGTGGCTTTTTTTCCCCCACTGATCTTTTTTATTTATCTGATTTTCTGTTCTTCTGTCATTTTGTCTTGCCATTTTAGGCCCCAGTTCTGCAAATCCTTATACATGTGCTTAACTTTAAGCATGTGATTTGCCCCACTGAAGTCAATGGGACTACTCACATACTTACAGATAAGACATGGATATCTGCACTTCCAGGTTTGGGCTGTCTTGGCAGTGAATTCTGAAGGCTGTATCCTCTTCTGGATGTGCAGGACGTTTATACCAGTAACACTGACGCTCAGTGTTCATTATGTACATAAATACCTACATATTGATAGGCTGTTAGTTCCCTTTGCTTGTTCAATATGCACTGTAAGCTATTCTTGGGTTGGCAGTGCCTGGTGGTATGTTATTCGAAAGTAGAATCAGTGCTACTGGTAGCCAGTCAAATTGCAGGATGGCAGAAAATTACTTATTACATTTGAAAGAGGATAAAGCTTCGGACAGTCAGCATCCAATTTATTTATAAAAAGTACCATATGCTTTAAAAAAAATACTTTTATGCCAAAGATGGCTTGCATGAGTGGCTAATGATAGACTTATTGTCTGAATCTCAGTATGCAGCAGAGAAAGAACCTTCACAAGAGCCAGACCAAGACTTTGAAACGCTTTGATTATTATTATTATTATTATTGTTATTACTATTATTATTGTGGTAGCACCCAGGAGCACCAGTCATGGACCGGAATCCCAGCATGCTAGGCGCTATACAAACACAGGACAAAAAGCTAGTCCCTGCCCCGAAAGGCTTATGAAATAAGGTTAACCACTAAATTTTCTACATTGAGAGTTAAAGCAAAACCCACCTCTTTGTTCAAGCTTTCCCACAATAGTACCTTATTTCTCATACTTTTGTATTAAAAAACATAAAAAGAAACTAAGCCTATCTTCCCAGGAAGGGAAAAAAGAAATATCATTGTTCTTGTTTTTTACTCTTGTGCTACTCTGGTGACTCTCCAGTACTCCTGGGACGGGCATCAGTATAAGATCCTGGATGGATGGTGGTACAGTGGCCAAATGTCATTTGCATCAGTATCCATCAGATAAAATGATTGAGCCACCATAGTTTGTTTTGTACAGTTGAACTATATGGGAAAATGCCCCACTTTAACTTGGCATTAATGTAACAGCAGGAGATCCTCCAGCTGTAACAGTGTCCTTTTCTGTGTCATTGTCTTTTATATACATATATATAGTCACAAATTAGTCTGGAAATAAATTAATTACTGGTGTGAACGCCATCTCTTTCAGCTCTGAGAGACTGACTCAGGGTGCCGAAGAGAACATTCTTGAAAAGAATTGTTTGCCACTGGGGTTAGGAGAAATCATGTCCCAAGATGCAACCTTACCTAAGAGAGCAAACCTCTATTCACCGTTCTTCAAGATGACATCCCAAAGTGTAGAGAAGCACCAAGGCAGAAGGGTCACCAGCTGCACAGAAAAGACAGTTACCTGTACAAAAGGTTTTTTATATGTTTTTAATTAAAGTATTCTAGGTGCCAAGAGACAACAGGATTTGCTTTTGTTTAGTGCATTCCCTATTCCAGTTATCTCAGAGCATTTTACAAAGCAATGAGATGGATGATGGAAGTGCAATAATTGTGCTGAAAAATACAGCAACCATTAGGTTTTCAGCAATAACTTACATGCCAGAGGATGTCAGAACTGGTTTCATTGAGTAAATTTACCAGAACACAGGAGAAGAATCTATATCTTTTCCACTGGATGTTAACCTCTGCCCAATCTGCAGCGCCCCCCACAGGGCTGAAGCCGGGTGAAGCATGGGACTGAAGTCCCGATCCCCGGCATCCCCCCCAGGACTGAAGCCGGGAGGGATGGGGTTGAAGCCCCAATCCCCAGCGCCCCCCTGCAGGGCTGAAGCCGGGGAGAGGCACGGGGCTGAAGCCCCGATCCCTGGCATCCCCCGCAGAGCTGAAGCCCTGATCCCCAGTGCCCCCCATGGGTCTGAAACCGGGAGGCACGGGGCTGAATCCCAGAGCCCCGATGCTCCCTGTGGAGCAGAAGCCTGAGCCCATGGTGGGTTGGGTTGGGGACATGGAGGGCATTGCTCCCCCCACCCCAAAGTGCAGCGTAAGAGCACTGCAGTCCTGGGGGCAGCTCCACACCGCCCTGAGCCCCCCCGCCACCATCTCCTCTCCCCCCCTTCCCCCCCAACCAGGTCGGAGGCGGGAAGCCAGAGCCGGGCAGTGCGGGGCAACTGCTGCTCTGGCTGGTGCCATGGAGCAGGCAGCGGCAGCGTTCCCTGATCTCCTGCTCGTGCCCCAGATTGAAGCTGCTCCTCAGCTCCCAGCCCCCTTTGCTCCCGCAGAGGCAGCTGGTAAGAGCCCCCCTGGGTGGGGAGACCCAGCTCCATGGCTGGCAGACCCCTCCAGGAACAGGGACTGCAAGGGAGTCCTCCCAGCACACAGCCCCTAATACCCCTCTCCCTACACCCTGAGCTATGCCCTTCCTGCACCCTGCCTGCACACAGCCCCTAGCCACGCTCCTCCCTCCCCTCCCTGCACCCTGAGCTCCCCCCCACCTGCACACAGACCCTAGCTGCCCCCTCCCTTCACCCTGAGCTTCCCCCATACCCGCACACAGCCCCTAGCCACCCCCCTCCCTGCACCCACAGCCACCCCCTGTGTGCACACAGACCCAGTTACCCTCTGTCTGCACACAGCCCCTAGCTACCCCCTCCCTGCACCCTAAGCTGTTTTCAATTTTTTTGAGCTAAGCACCCCACCTTTGAGTTATAATTTAAATATATAAACTCCCTCCCTGGACCCCACCATGCAGCGGTGGCTCCAGCCCCGCTGACCCCTGCGCCCCCCCCCCCATAGAAGTCAAACTATGTCTATGCCCAAGGCCCCTGCCCCGAGGCGCTCCCCCTCCCCTGGGCACTGGAGTTTTTATAGCATGTCGAGGGGGGCCTCAAAGAGAAAGTTGAGAACCCCTGCACTATAGTATATTAGGCTGTAAAGCATGTTGTAGATCACTTCTCATACTGGATGCACCCCTACTGCCAGACTTTCCATTTCTTGTAAGTTAAACTAAACTATCAGAGTAGGTTTCCATTTCACTAAAACCATGTGTCATCTTAGCTAATAAAGAATTCACACATGGCTGATGTGGTGTAGCTTTGTTTTCCTTTTTGGCCCAGATCTGGATCACAATGCAAAGAGCAGTTCAAGCAGGGAAGAAAGAAAAGTGAAGAACAGGCCACCACTGAAAAGTGCAAGGTCCTGCCGAAACAGAACAAACCAGGAAGCGAATGTTAGGATGATCAAGTCATGCCAGACACAAGAATCATTGCAACTTTCTCTCCCTATAGTGCTTGGTGCAAAGGGCAGGCAATCCAATGAAAGGTGTCATGAGGGTGAACCACAGCCAAAATCCTTTGGCCAGCACCGGTAGGTGAAGAAGAGTCCAGTTACTGAACTTGCCTATCCAGTCAGTGATACGTTGAATGTACATTGTGGCATGAACAATGAGGGTGTCAGGACTAACAGAAGCAAAAGTTCTTGCTTTATTTCTAAGCCATACGCAGCTGGACAACTGAAATATGAGGGATCTCACCCGCCAGGGCCGGCTCTAGGTTTTTTATGAGGGATCTCACCCGCCCCAAGCAAAAAAAATTTTGTTTGCCCCCCCATCCCAGCCCTGGGCTCCTCGCCGGACCCCCCTGCTGCCCCAGCCCTGGGCTCTTCCCCCCCCACCCACACCCCCTGTCGCCCCAGCTCTGGGCTCCCTCATTCCCCCCCACCATTGCCCCACACACACATCTCCTGCCGCCCCAGCCCTGGGCTCTCTCCCCCCCCACCTGCACCCTCCTTCCGCCGCAGCCCTGGGTCACTGGTAACTCGCTCCCACGGCAGGCCATTCAGCAGGAATTTTAGATGTGCACAGAACACCGACAGGATTGGTTCTCATATGGTTACAGAACTGCAGTAAAGTGGAACAATTTTCAGCTTGTGTGACTGGAGGATATCTGGATGCATATTATAAGACTGTCCTACATAAATGAAGAAAAGTTGAGGTGCCTTTATTATTCTTTTGTTCCTCTCTTTCTTTCTATGGGGAATTTGCCAATGCAATATCACGGTCTTCCTTTTAAACAAACAAACAAACAAACAAACAAACAAAAAAGGCAATGGCTGTTGAAAATAGCAATTCCAGTCCTAATAACCACTGGGAAGCATTTCTTGCTCAATTTTATCCTACTTTTTCTACAGCAAGTTACAGTGGATCAGTATATTTGATTTGGGAGAAATGAAGTAACAGCTGCCCAAACTGAGCTTGAGCACTCCTGAATTTTGAGGTGTTCAAATCTGGAAGGCAGGTGCTGAGGGGGGAGGGGGCTGTGGCTCTGCGGGGGAGCACGGCAGCATGTATGCAGCAGTGTGTCTGGCGCTGCGTGGAGCCAGACACGCTGGTCTGAGTGGCACGGTAAGGGGGCTGGGGAGTTGGATGGGGCGGAGGTTCGGGGGGGCAGTCAGGGGCAGGGAGAAGGGGGGGTTAGATGGGTCGGGGGGCAGTCAGGGGACAGGCAGCGGTTGGATAGGCATGGGAGTCCCGGGGGTTTGTCAGGGGACAGGTAGGGGGTGGGGTACTAGAGGGGAAGTGGGGGGGGGTGTCTCAGGAGGGGGCAGTTGGGGACAAGGAGCAGTGGGGCTTAGATAGGGGGTGGGATCCTGGGGGGCAGTTAGGGGTAGAGGTCCCGGGAAGGGGTGATCAGGGGACAGGGAGCAGGAGGGGTTGGGGTTTCTGTGGGGGGCAGTCGGAGGGAGTGGATGGGGGCAGGGTGGGGCTATCCTCCCTCCCCGTGGAGTGTCCTATTTTTTGAATGTTAAAATATGGTATCCCTTCTCACAGTGCAGCTCTCCATTCACTGCAGCATGAGGTCTCAGCTACCTCACTCCCTCCCCCTCTTTCCTGTTGGTAGTGGCCAAGGGAATGCTGGGAAATGTAGTTCTTTCCCTGCTCCAGGGCTGGCTCTATAGGCAGGGAGCTAACCAAGGAACTACAGCTCCCAGGGCCCCCTGTTGGTTCTCAGCTCCCATGCTGGATCCCTGCCGCCCCTGCAAATGGGCTGCCCCAAGCACGTGCTTGCTTTGCTCGTGCCTAGAGCCGCCCCTGTCACCGGCTCTGGGATTTCTCCGTTCTCACTGCACGAGCTTACTTCTGAGTCTCTCCTGAGTAGAAACTTCCACTTGACTTGTGGTCTATCATATGCATTGTTTTTTTGTAATGCAAACTCCTACCCAGTAGGAACTGAGCTAAGAACATAGCCTTCATTTTTGTTTGGCATCTCAAGCTGATCTTGACTCTTGATCCCTGATATACATGTTGAGAGATTTATTCACCAAGCCATTCAACCTTTTGAGACTGACATGCATATCTCTTGATCTGTGATAGATAAATTGGAGGGTCATAAGCCATATAGATTATAATAATTATCATCTGTCATCCAGGAGAATCCCATAGCACTTTACAATCATACAAAATCTGTACATAGGTATCATTTTATTGACAATGGACACCTGTGAGTTGATTTGCAACCATTTAGAGGCATGATACTATACAACAGTTTAGCACAGGAAGTGAAAAATATCTCATATCCAATTGAACCCTAGCTATTTAAATTTCCCAACATGTTCAGTTACCCAGCATGCAATTTGGCTAGGACTGCCCTCTCACTACCTCTTCTTTATCTCCACCTCTCAATGGTTTGTACCCCAAAACTAAGTCAAAACCCAGTGCTGAGCAGTTCAACTGAGTGTGGCCAGCACTGGATTTAGCCAATAGTACAAGAAATCTCCTTTGATTATATTTGTATGCTGCTAGAAAGAGTTATTAACTACAATATAGAATTTGTAAAATACTTAGAATGATAGATCGATTGATTTGATAGACAGAATTGGAGGACATAGCCACCAGATGGTATTTTGTAGACATGTCTATAATACAAGTTGAATAGGGTGGACTGAGATACATGTAAGGCACTGACTGACATGTTTTGTTTTTCTATACAGAGCAGACCTGGCAACTTGTTCAGATATGAAAGGGAACATGGCCAGGCCTACATTATCAAGCAAAATGATTTTACTGCCCCAACATGACAGCAGAGAAACATTCCATCCAGCATCTTTGTTATGTGCCATGAAGAAGACATCAACAAAAGGGTTATTGTGCAATAGTGAGACCAAGGCGGTGGCTAAGAGAAAAACTCTGGAGCCTGGGTCACAGACTGTACTTACAAGACCTTCCAGTCACAACTGGGTGAATTTCCTGTCAGGCTTAGAAATTGATGCAAATGTTGTGAAAAACCTTACAAGCTAAAATATACAGCCAGCCAGGCTCCATTCAGACAGGACATCAACACTGGGAAATGAGTGGCTTCACATCAGATACCCTGAGGGATTAGGACTCCAGTCCTGGGGAAACCCTTTGGCAGGAGTGCTCTGAAAATGCAGCAGAAGTGTATACAGTGCTAAGAAGTTTAGCCTCACACTGTCCTGAAAGACAGAGTCTAGATTTCCGGAACCTCTGAGTGACAGCTAAAGAAGGCACAGCATTTAAGTTTCTTTTCGAATTTTTTCATTTTTTAATTGTCAGTAAATTTCAGACATAAAAAAAACCAGCTGTATCATCTGACTTCTTCAGAATTAAAGTGATGTCTGACCAGAATGGACAACTAAAAAGGGGAAGGATTTGTGTTACTCAATTCAGACCCTACCAGCCACTTTAAGAAACAGTGCTAATGGACTCCTAGGGGAATTCCATCCAGTTCTGTACTGCTGAAGGTTGCTAGTCACAGATTAAGACCTTTGGGGGAATATAGGGAATACAGATCAGGGACTGCCTATGCTAGAGAGTCTGGGGAAGTAAAGGAGGATGCTGTTCCATTGTGCGGCAAAAGCAAAAAGCAGAAGTGTATTCTAAAATTAAAAAGCTAAAAGTAAGTAAAGTGCCTTAAAAAATTCCATCTTGTCACATGCCTTGCTATGGTGCTGGATCCCAGATGTGACTAGAACTGCTGTCTTTGTTGCTGTCCATCTAATCCATTGTGTTTATGCCTATTTAATATTTGTTCCTTCCCCAAG